AACTTCATTATGAAATCAGATATAGGCACAAATTATAAACATCATACTTTCGGCTTGTCAATATTAGTCACACCTGCACATTTATTAAGCACACCCACAGTTTGAAGGATACCCGTGGTAGTAAAGAGCATTTTGCACCATTGACGTAGCTGTACGTTGCTGATTTGAATATTTTACATCTGGAAATATATTACTTACTAACCGTGTAGTGGAAGTGTAAGAATATGTACTACCTCAAATTATCCCAAGAGTGTTGTAAGAGGAGCTCTGTCTCCTTGTCTCCGTGTCGTATTGTCGTCAGTGGTGTGTCTTTCCTAGTGTAGAGGTGTTGGGAGTAGTGGTGCTGGGATTAGTGGTGACGGGGATAGTGCACGCAATTGAGGGAGGGCGGGAGGTGCTCTTCAAACTAGGTAAGACACATCATTTTATTTTATCTAGCGGATGTACGCAAAGTAATTTTTTGTCAAATTTAATATAATGGACTTCCGCAAAGTAACGCCTGATTCTATTAATTATATACCTAATATATAAGCACTTCTTTCGAAACTCTTTTTCTATAAATAGTGCTTTGCCTCAAACCCAGTCGAAGGCCTTTGTTATGTCCAAGCTTACCTCCAAGGCTTCCTCCTTGGACTCTGCTGGCTCCTCCTCTCTATAAATCATGTAGGTATAATAGAAGATTACCACCTCAGCGACCCCGACGGTAACCGTATTGGTGGTCACTAATCAGCTGGTGGTCCTCGGAGCACCTCAATATGAGTTGGCAGTTTATAATGGATTCCATTATTTTGGGAAACAAGGACTCGATACCGATAGGCCTGTAGTTAGACGTGTCTGAGCGGTCGCCTTTTTTAAGGATCGCGTGCACTAAAGCTGTCTTTTATGAGTCGGGTCTACGCCTAGACAGTAAGAGTACCGGAAAAGACACGTTCCCGGTGCCAACTCCATAGCACACATCTTCAGCATAATAGGAGGGACTCCATCAGACCTCAGACCTCCATCAGATTGAGAGTCGAGTTGGCAACGGCTTGAGCCAGTGAGTCGTCATCCCTGTACAGAGATGGCTGACAGAAGTTCCCTTGGACAGCCTTGGCGAGAGACTAGAATGCACTGGTTCTTGAAAGAGGTTTACTAGTTTCTCGCCAATGATTTAAAATTTGCAGTTAACAATTACATTAGTGCCGGCGGGAAACGAACCCGTGTTGCTTGCGTACTGTGAAATTTATAGTGTAAATTTATACTCGTATTTCGTGTACGGAACGTTTCTTGTTTCTTATTTTCAGGAGCGCTGTCCGGGTGGAGACGGAAATTGCACCAGTGGCGGCTCCGACAACACGCACTGACCGCTTCGCCGACATCCTTGGGTATGTTACTCACATAGGCGTAAGTTCGGAACTAGATGTAACACATTTAAATGAAACTAAATGTAAGTAAAAGCCTATATACATTCTAATTCTGGGCACAGACAAAAGGGTATTTAGACCAAGCAAGGGTCCACCGCATTTTACGGATTTTATATTCTTATAACTTACAACTTTCGACTACTTTCCAGCACCCATGGTCACGGGTGGACTGAGGTGTTCCACGTCCCAATATCACAGTTAACCACGACTACCTACATAAACACTCACGCCTGTCACCCAGAGGGGTACGCAGAGATTACGCACTGCCATTTGGTACGATCCTGTCTGACACATACAATTACACACTGTGGTTTCCTATGTTTTATTTTCAGAGGCGAAGTTGTACATGAGGCACGGCCGATAGTGGAAGCTCGTGAGGTCCGTGAGATACGAGAGACGGCGCGGGGGCGCAGTGTTGTGGGGGCAGGGGTGGGGTTGTCTATCTCCGCGCCTCGCCCGCCACCCGCCGCCGCCGCATACCTCGGCGCGGCTCGGTATATCGCTGGTACACGAATAGACACATCACTATTCCGTCCCATTCCATTCCGATCACACCAAGGTGAGATGCATTCTTTTTTTCTTTTTTTTAATAGAATAAGGGTGACAAACGAGCACACAGTCCACCTGATGCTTATCTTCGTTTGCGAATTAAAATGCAGATGCGTTGTCAGCCGTGAGGATTAAGATGGAATGCCTCTTTTCCAGTAAAATGGGTCTCCGGTTGTCTACACTCACCATACGAAACACAGCAGCATTAAGCTGCTATTTTACGCTGGTATTCTGTGAGAGCGTGGTCCTTCCCCGGTCGAGGCGACCCATTCGTGCTACAACTAAGTATACTATTAATATTGCTGCAGCATGGCTCTACCACGTATTGACAGACAAGTCGTTTGCTATTAGTGTCCGAACGAAGGTCGCGTTCCAGCCGAAGCCGAATCGATTAATCGGGTACCTTTAAAAGGGAAAGCTTTAAAAACCTTGAGAAATTCTATTCAAGAGTGGCTAAAATTAATAATAATATAAATGATAATAATACTTTATAATTGTAGGTATATATTGACTGTGTAATAAAAAGAGATAATTTTCAACTTCTCTAGAAGTTGATATAAGCCAAAAAAAGCTTCGGTCGGACACAATTTGCAATTCAAATCAATAACTGTATTGTCGGTTACAGAAACGACGGCGGTGGGCAGCGGTGCCGCGCGAGTCGATTGGGCGGCGAAGTATCTTCGCTAAAGTACACCAAAAAAAAAACCCATTTGAAATATTATTCTGTACGTTATTGTAACAAGCTGCGGTTTATGAGCTCTGACCTTCCACCGCTTAAGTCACCAATGAAGTGAAGCGCTGGGGCAGTACATTGATTACTCTGCCTGATTAGTTCGGAAGATTTGTGGCAGTGACATAGACGAGTTCGAAGTCGAAGACCAGCACTCCAAAATTGGTACTTATGTGGAACACCAAATACTGATCATATTATAATAATAATTTATAATTGAAATGGTGTAAATTATAAAAATATTTGGCTTTTATAACTTACACTATTTTTCTACCGACTTTAAAAAGGAGACGGTACTCAATTCAACTGTATGTTTTTTGTGTGTTACCTCATAAAGTTTTACTGCGTGAACCGATTTTGATGATTCTATTTTTATTTGAAAGCTGGTGCTTTTTTCAAGATCTGATCAAGGTCTGACCAATAGCTTTTGAATTATTCTTAATAATTTACATTAAAGTCGGTTGTACAAAATTATTAATTTTAAATTATTTTTTACACGTCAACATCATAGAAAATAATCATTTTATATGTAACCTTTGAAGTTTTTCTAAATGTTAAAGTTGGAAGTAGAACACTGAGACCACAGAGTACATTATATATACCTATACTGAGACTGACACTGCTGTAGCATGAATATGATCCTGCCTCTATGATGAAGCAAGGCTGATGGTGATATTTTAGATGATTGAAAAATAAACACTTTTCCAAGAAACGTATTTTATCTTTATCCATTTCTTAACTATTTATTTCACAGAGCAACATGGACCACCGACGGACGGACCGGAGGGGAGTAACCATAGCGTTTTTCCCCGATACAGATCTGTCATTTTTTGCGGGGGGGGGGGGGAGGGATCTGCGCACATAAAACAAAAGAATAGAATAGTTTCACACACACATAGATACAGTATCGCTCCGTGACAGCGACACCTTGGATCAGTCGCTCGAACCATATTATTTGCATATTGAGGGCGAGCAGCCTGTGTTGGTAAACAAATCCGAAACTATACGACCACTATTATTGTTATTTTTAAGTTTAAAATGAAATAATTAGCAATAACGTAGGTAATTAAAAACTATTTATATAGGAATGTTGCAGATCTTAACAATTTGGCATTTTTGTAGGGCTTCGATTCTGCCGTGCAACGACATTTAGTCTATTGAGCAATGCGGCTGCAACTAGTTTTATTATTGTACGTATAGGATTGTGTGGACTTATCCTTTCACAGAGGGGAACACCTGCGTATGGCTACTACCCTCCTATTCGCCAGTGGCACGTGTTGCTCTATAAGTCTATTGTACGAAAGTTTGCAAAGCATCATCATCATCATAAAAGTCCACTGCCAAACATAGGACACTACCTACCCCCTCGGGGACTAGAGGCGTGATACTATGTATGTATGTATTAATTAATGAATATAAATATAGAAATACAGTTGTAGTTAATGCAAACATAACTGCCACTTAAAATAAATATGGATGCTCAATGAAATAAAATATACCACCAAACATATAGTATTTATGTTTTAAAAACATCAAATAAAACATTTATGAAAAGATTTATAAATTAATTCACCATCATTGATTAATTCATTTCAATCTACTGTCGGCATTGTCTCCAATCCCAACACATAGAGTAACATTTATAATAATTTTTAATTATTAATTTGTCTTAACAAAGAAAATAACAGTGTATGGACCAGACTGATATACTAACAGTAGTGACGGGCAAATGGATGTCTAGAGCATTTTAAATCTGTTTAAATAAGAAAATAAGTTGTAGCTATGTACAATAAATATTTACTATCATAATGAAGGCACACTCAAATTCTTAAGTAATAATGATTTTCAAGTACTATTCTATATTGTGAACTATGTCCACCAATGTTATTGTTACAATATTATAAATAATAAATATACTAACATTTTTAGTGAGTTAATTTAACAAATTTTGCATCAACACCTCTTAAATTTCCAATGATTTATTCAAAAATTGTTACTGTTATGTCTTACTTTGGAAACAATACTAATTTCTAGCATGTTTACATAATACACTCATTTGCAGGTGTTAGCGTTAATAAAACCACAATTTTTTAAGTTACATACAAATATTTCAGTAAGATTTAGAAGGGCTCCTCTTTATTTATTTTTTTACATTTATTCTACGAGTCACTGGGTCTTATATTAATGACAATTACATTTCTATAAAAATGTATTTACTAAAACACATGTAGGTAACTTCATTTTAAACTATATTATATTATTTACATATTTGCTTCCATTTAAAATCTGTGAGTAATTAATTAACAAGTTTTACTGCATTACTCATACTTGAGGTAGGGTTTGGTGTCTGGAGCTGCAGAGTGAGGTGTGTGAGGTGCAAGTGCTGCATGGCCTGAGTGCTGTGAGTGAGCTGGCCATGCCTCCGGTGGCCAGCTATACACTCGTGGAGCTGCTCCATCCAACAGGCCCCAACCAAGCAGTTGGGAACGAGAGTCTCTTTCCCGCTTTGGTGATGCAGTCGAAATATTAACTGACACACCCTTGATAATGTGGTCCTGCCCGCACAATGACTGAGCTACTTCTGGATCTAAGAATGTGACAAAGCTAAATGCACGGAAAGGTCGGGGCACAAACACATCTGTCACCTGGCCAAAGGCCCCAAAATACTCGCGTAAATCATCTGCAGTGATGCTTTCGGTACATCGCCCAACAAAAACCTTGCGATGTGCAGCTGCTCCACCATCTTTACTATTGGGAATGCGTACATCACACCATCGCCCATCAATCATGTGTCGTCGCCCGAGAGCACGCAATTGAGCTTCATACTCGGCAAACTTGATGAATCCAAAACCTTTGGAAAGACCGGTTTTTGCGTCACGCTTAACTTGAACCATGAGTAGCTCACCAAAGGAAGAAAAGTATTCACGTACAGCATCTTCTCCAGTTTTCCACGGTAATCCTAGTACGATAAGATCGGAGCAACGTGGCCGCGGGGACGGAGCACTAGCTCGCGGAAAAGCACAGAAGTACCGATGAGCTGCCCAACCTCCTGGCGGTGGTGAGACCCGGTCTTCAACAAGACGTAAACCACGGAGACGACCACCGGCGCGATATTTGAGTCCACTAGCCCCAGCAAATTGAGCTGTGACTGTACTCAAAAGTAATGAACCGTCTTCCTCAGTCGGCAGCTCTATGGGCTCGTCCTGCTCGCCCTCACTTACCAACACGTATTCTATCGACATTTCGCTCACCAACCGACGCGTCCTATTCCGCTCCTCATTTTGTTTACATTATCATTGGGTTGCAGATTACCCTGCCGCGTCAATATAATGAGATCGACGTCTCTTAATTACTTCTAGGCAAAATCATCTAGGATATTTTATGCGTGACGTATGACGTGACCATGACGTTTCATAGATGTCAAAAATGAAACAGCTGTCACCTCATCACCTGTTGTCTGTTGTTCTTTTTTTAATAACTGGCTTTACGGCTCTGGGTTCTAGCCCTTTTCAGCCTGAAGTTATAATGATTATCCTTCATAGTACAGTGCTTCACAATATGTTGATGCGTCACATTGTGCAGCCCATAGACTTAGAATATACTAGCGTATAGACGACCTGACAGCCCGAAAACGCGAGATTAATTTTGATTTGTCATTGTGTGCGTTAGCTAATGATGTACATTTTACTTACCACTAGTAATCATTTTTCGATAGGCCTAGTAACTTACTAGGCCTATCGAAAAATGATTGTTAATTGTTAAAAAGATTTAAAAAAATTGTTTAGTGCACGCAATTGAATAACTTAAAAATTAACTGAATTTTTACCATGATAGCTTAAAATAATTAAAAAAATATTCATATAACATGTTCCTGAGAATAAGGTGAACCTACCTGGCTTTTGTTGAATTTCCATTCAAATGTATAAAATCCTAGGTGATTGTACCGATAAACTTAAAAAAGTCCCCAGGAATCAGATCGGAAAGTTGTATTTTCGAGCTATGATCTTTGGAGAAAAATATTTATTGCCGTGGACATTTCCCCGGTATTTCTTTTTTAACATATTGTTAATATAAATAGGTAGACATGTAACTATCATCATCATCATTACAGCCCTTCACACGTCCACTGCTAAACATAGGCTTCTCCCAAGGAATGCCACAAAGCACGATCCTGAGCCACCCGAATCCATCGACTTCCTGCATGTCTTACCAGGTTGCCACTCCATCTTGTGGAGGGACGCCCTAGACTTAATCCACCAGTACGAGGCCGCCACTCAAGAACCTTTTTTCCCCATCAGTTGTCAGTTCTTCGAGTCATATGACCGGCCCATTGCCCCTTCAGCTTACTAATCCGTTGGGCTATGTCGGTCACTCTGGTTCTTCTGCGGATATCCTCATTTCTAAGTTTATCACGCAGAGAAACTCCGAGCATAGCCCTCTCCATAGCTCGCTGAGCAACCTTGAGCTTCCTCATCCGGCCAGCAGTGAAGGACCACGTCTCAGTTTCATAGGTTATCACTAGCAACACGCACTGGTTGTACAGTCTCGTTTTCAAGTTTTGAGATATACCTGACGAGATCTCGTCAAGGAATAACCAGTGTACTCTTAAAGGAGTCTTAATACGCATAGAGTTACAAATGGGCCTAAAAGTGAGTAGTTATACAGCTATATGTGCTACTAGGGGAAGATGTGCCGTAATTTCCCGAACGCTGCCCAGCCGAGTTGAATCTGTCGATTGACCTCTCGGTCGCAGCTCGATTTACCTAGTCGGACTATTTGCCCCAGGTAAACATTCGTCAACAACTTCGAGCTTAGTGCTTCCAACAACTACCGGCATAGGTGTGACATGGACGTTATATATGATCTTTTTTTGTCCATGTTCATCTTAAGACTTATCCGTTGGGAGGCACTATTAAGGTCGTTGAACATAGTGCTTAGGTCCTCCAGCGATTTTGCCATAAGAACAATATCGTCGGCAAATCGAAGGTGAGTGATGTACTCGCCGTTGACGTTAATACCGTATCCTTTATAGTCCAGAAGCTTGAAAACGTCAAATGCAGCGGTGAAGAGTTTCGGGGATATAATGTCACCCTGTCTTAAGCCTCTCTGCAGTTAAAGTCAACTAAGTATATACTTATTTATATTTTAAATATTTTATAAAATGATTTGATGGGTAAATAAAAAGCAGGGACACGGAGTACATATTGGCTGCTTTATTATTCATATAAGTATTACTTTTGATGAATACAAACATTTAATAATTAATAATTAAATACGTTATAGAATTTTATTTTTACATTCGACTTAAATATAAATTTAAACTTAATAATTTAACTAAAGAAACTTGTAGGAATCAGTTAAATAAGATTGCTCTGTTTAAAGGCCAATATGTTTATAAGGGTTTATCATGCTTCATGTTTATATTCTTTTATCTCTCAGTGCAAAGTATAACGTAGTAATAAACCTGTTATAATTTTACCCGCATGAACTTTAAAAACATAATGATCTTAACAGATTAAATCAGGCATCGAACGTCGTGAATATCAAATATTGTGGAATTTATACTATCGCGTCTCATGCGTGGGTAATATATATATCTTTATATATAAAAATTACGTGTCACATTGTTTGTCCGTGATGAACTCCTAAACTACTAAACTGATTGCAATGAAATTTTGCACACTGTGTGCAGTTTGGTCCAACTTGAAAGATAGGGTAGTTTTTATCCCTATAAGTGACCCTTAATATTTTTTATTACGAATTTAAGAATTTTTATAGGACACACGGTCGTCGGAGAGGGCAGAACCACGTCTGCCTGGTCAGCTAGTATATATATATATATATATATATATATATATATATATATATATATATATATATATATATCTATATATATATATATATATATATATATATATATATATATCTACGCTAAAAGTTTTATCATTGTGAGTTGGCAATATAATCCGAACCTCCGCTCAACCCCTTGGGGAAAATAGCGTGATGCTATGAATATTCTACTAGTGTGACCGCCAGGCTGCGCGGTTGGTTAAGTAAGGTTATACATTTATTTTGGTTGATAAATTGTTACTTAGTTGGGTTTATAATGGCTTAATGAGGATAATCTCAAGATGTTTTTATATTTAATGTACTACAGTTTTATAATGTATAAAAAATTGTCTCTATTTTTATCTAAAGTTTTGAAAGTTAAATTTTTGAAGTCTTATTATAACAATATTGTACTTACTAATACAAATACTTAATGTAGAAATGACTCCTTTTAATAAAAAAATATTCTACATTTTCTTTTATACTTTTCAAGAAAATGTTTGCTGAAAATTGTTGAGTTCTTCTTTGGTTTACAACCAACCCGTTCAATTAACCTTAACCATTTTTTCTAATTAAAGAATCCGGAGGGAATCTGTTATAAACATTCAAGATAAATATCGATTTTAATTTTGACATCGCTGAGGTAATCCCTAGCGTACATGTAAAATATTTTGTATAAAAATGTATTTACAAAATTCATGCAAATTATCAACAACGTGACATTTATCTTTGCAAAATATCAAAATTAACAAAATAATTGAAAACATTCTATATTTTAAACAGTACATAACATAAATGAAATGAAATGAAGATTTTATTTGCTTTGAAAAAGGGGTACATTTAGGTGGATATTATATAGTGTAGATCAGCTTTTTCAGCCATCTATAATAGCATGCAAATACATTTTTTATAGTCAAATTTATCATATTACAATATAAAATTCAATTAAAATATTTATCGTCATGTCAATGTTTACAAATGAGCAATACCAATACATATAAAATTTAAATATAATTAAGATTAAAATTTAATTACTTATACTTATACTTATCTTCACGCACAATCCCTGACGGGGTAGCCAGAGAGAACAGATTGCCAAGTGTCACAATCCTTACATACCTCTTTCGCTTCTTTCAGATTCATTATCTTCTTCATACATGCACGTCTAGGTATCCGAGTACTCTTGACCCCACCCTCTTCGAGCAATTTCCTCATATGGCCTTCGAAAGTTTTTTAATATTAACTTTCGCGCTATATATTTTCTTCACCATTCGATCTTCACTCATTCGCTCAACGTGCCCAAACCACCGAAGCACACCCTTATCAATTTTTGTGATAAGGTCATCTTTCAAACCTGCCATATTGCGAATCTCTTCGTTTCGCTTTCGGTCGGCCATGGTAACGCCGCACATTTTACGAAGAGATCGCATCTCCACTGCATTCAACTTGCTTTTATGCTTCTTCTGGCATACCCAGGTTTCGCTGCCATATAACAAAGTCGGTACCAACACGGCGTTATGTATTGCAAGGCGTGCACTCTTCACTACGCCTTGCCTTTTGACTAACGCAGTCAGAGCACCATTGACTTTGTTCCCGGCAGCGACACGCCTGTCCACATCTAAATCACATCTTCCATCCCGGCTAAAAGCACTCCCCAAGTATACAATTTCATTTACCTGTTCTAGACATTCCTGATTTACCCATATTTCACACTTCGTTCTCTCTTCGTCCCTTTCAAATACCAGAACCTTAGTTTTATTAGCATTCAAACGGAGACCTTTAATTTCACATTCCTCTTTCATACACGTGACTAATGCCCGCAGTTCTGCCTCTGATGGTGCAATAAGCACTGCATCATCAGCATACAGCAGACAATTTACTTTTATGTCACCCAATTTCACACCTAAACAGCTATCTTTCACCTTCTGTAAACAGCTGTCGAGATACAGTATGAACAGCCAGGAAGACATGACACAACCCTGTTTTACGCCCGTTTGGACGCTAAACATGGGTGACAGGTCATGCCCTACCCGCACACAGGCTTTACAGTCACAGTAAAGAAACTGCACAGCCCTTAGCAATCGGCCATCCACACCATACCCCGGCAACAGTTCCCACATTTTCTTCCTTACAACCTTATCAAATGCTTTCTCAAGATCCACAAAAGCACAGAAAATCTTCTGGTTAGCAGCCAGAAGCTTTTTCGTGATCATGCGGAGAGAAAACATTTGATCCGTGCATCCTCTTCCAGGTCTAAATCCGCATTGTGCCTCCCATAGAAATCTTTCCGATTTCTCTTGCATCCTACGTGTCAAAACCTTCGAGTAAACTTTACTTGCTAAACTGGTCAAGCTGATCGCCCGATAGCACCCGCAGTCAAAATGTGACCCTTTACCTTTATATAAAGGCACAA